AGAGAGAGAGAGAGAGAGAGAGAGAGAGAGAGAGAGAGAGAGAGAGAAACATACTATTCTTAAGAACACAACCTGGCAAAATTGAAAGGATCTGACCATTGGCAATAATCCACATTAATCCACATGTGAGATGGGACAAGATTTCAAGGAAAAGCAGTAGGTCATCAGGCTGCTCAAAAAAGTGTCACTGAGCATCTAGAGATGGAGCTCAGTGGTGGCCCTGGGTCAACCCCAGCACTACCAGTGGGTGGGTGGGGAGGGGGAATAAAAAGGAAAAGTGTCACTGAAATCCAGAAGTTCAGGAAATTGAACAAGGCCAGAGAGGTCTAGCCATGCCGGCCTGCTGGATCTGAAGGGTAGCTTGATGCAGGGATCATGGTGGTCCCGTGGACCACTCACATTGCTTCTCCAGACCCCAGCAATGCCCACTCCTTTACTCCGATTACAATTTGTTCTTTCTCTCTTTCTCTGCTCATCCAGCCAAACCACAACCACCGACACTAGCTTCTGTTGAAGGCCAGCTTCAGAGGTGCACAGTTCCACTGGTTCCAGTCACAGGGCATGGGGACATGATGCAGACTTTGACTCATTTTCTGTATGATTTTGTTGGCTTTCTCCGTATGGTTATACACAGGGAAGCCAAGCTTCTCTTGAACCTGGGTCTGAGTATATATTATATAGGAGACAAGGCCTTGGGCCCGGTACTCAGGCACAGTGGCTGCCATTCGCATCTCCCCAGTCTGGTCCATTAGAGCCCATGACACAGGGGTCCCTTCAGGCCCCAGAAGACAGGAGCTGGGGAAGGCCAGGATACAGCGCTCAATGAATCTCTGGCTTCTTTCATTGCCACCAAAATGCCAGAATTTATTCACCAAAGCAGCATGCGTAATATCCAGCAATGAGAGTTTAAACATCTCTTGGTTCCTGTTGAGAAAAAGGGAAAAGAACAGGCCATAATATCATGCACACTTATGAGGCATTTTATTTATTTGAGAGGCATGTAGGAACACAGGTAATGGAATAGTCTCAGCAGCCAAGCTGGGATCATAATCCTACTAACTGTGGGATCTCAGGCAGGTAACTTAATATTTCTCTGCCTCCACCTCTTATTGCATAAAATGGTAATATTAATTTCAAAAGACGGAAATGCATTCAGTGCCACAAAACACTAAAGAACTCCACAAAAATTAAGTATTGTTCTCAACATTGCTTTGGCTCTCCACATAATATAGACCTGATGATTTCAACCCTATTTTACAGATAAGTGGGCAAACAGAAAAAAAAAAAATGCCTATAAGAAGAACATTCTAGCAAGCAGTAAAGCCAGAGCTTAGAATCTTAGAATCTTAGGGTGTGTGTATTCAGTGGTCCTTGACCACCATGTTGAACACTTGGGAAAGCCGGAGTCCTGAGAGTCACCCATATGGACTTCAGATGGCTCACATAATGGAATACTGAAGTCTGAAGATCTCTTTGGTAGAGGAAAGAGGTTTTGAGAGGGATCTTGCAAAGATCCCACTATGTGGGAATAGAAGATTTAGACTTAAATCATAGTTATGGCCTTCACCATCCATGTAGTAAACAAGCCACATCATGGAGGGTCCTGCTCTCTGTTGGGAAACAGGAATGATGCCTCCTACCCTGACTATCTCATAGGATGTGTAAGAGGATTCAGTAAGGTTCTAGACCAGGAGGTGCTCTGCAGGCTTCAATTCACTTTGCAATGTGAATAAAGCTCTTCTGGGCATATTATCACACCGAGGGCAAGACATTGATCATCTACAGATAAAGTTGCTATCAATGGGTTCTACTTCATATTACACTGGAAATTAATGGAGGAAAATATATGATTATTTCAAGTTCTTTATATTGGAAAACATTTTGTCTGTGAAGTGGATTCATTAAATGCATATCTATTAAGAACCTACTATGTGCATTATTCCGGCTATGGAGAATATGTTAGTGAACAATATAGAGAAGATTCCTGCTCTCATGAGATTATAAGTGGGTCAGGGGAGGCTCTTCAAACAACAGGTAGATAAATACCCAATAAGGTGTTTTCAGGTAATGATAAGTCTGATAAAGAAAGTTAAAATTGGATTTCATCATGAAGAATTATGACCGGGGTGATATTACCCATGGCAATCTCAAAAAACTGTCAAAGGAAATAAATTTTGAGAGAATGAAGAGCAATAACAAAAAGAGATAACATGTGGAGATCTGAGGAAGGATGTTTGAAGCAGGCAAAGAGCAAGTTCAGTGGTGCAGAGGCAGGAGCAAGAGCATGAGGTCAAATGGCATAAGGAAGGCCAGGGCTGCTGAGTGAGCAGCAAGGTCAAGGTGACATCCAGGAGGTGAGGGTGCAGGTCTTGTGGGCTCTATAAAGAGTTTGCATTTTGTTCAAGATGAGGTGAGAAATGGTGGCTTTTAAGCAGGTGATCATCCAGGAGAGGGACTCTGGGAGGTGAGAGAGAACGCAGGGAGGGAGGTTGGGAAGACACTCTAGTGACATGTGAGCAGTGCAGAGAGAGCATCTTTAATCACACTCACTTGATCTGGGGTCCCCCAGATTCAGGACGTAAGTTCTTCGTATCCACCAGGAAAGGCACCAGTTTCCTTGCTGTCTGAGGCATCATGTACAGAATGCACTGTGTTCTCTTGACCTGGACCGAGTTAGCAGCAGCAAGACTTTGTATCACCTCATCCAAGCTGGACTGTGAACCTAGGAGGGAGGAAGGAAGGAGAGAAGTAACCGTGTGCAAGGTACAAGAAGGGGCCCAGAGGAACCATGACTCACTCTTGCTTCTGGTAATGCCACCAACAGTGTGATGTGACCAAGTCACTCCCTGGAGCAGGTTTTCTCTTATACAAAAATAGTACCAGAAATGCTGGCTGTCACTCTGAAATCAAAGGAGAGGAATATAAAATTCATAGTAACCTATCTTTTGCAGTACAGGAGATTGAACCCAGGGCCCTGCTTATGCTAGAAAGAGTCCCTAGCACTGAGCTAAACTCCCATCCTGTAGAAGCCTATGTTGATTGTGCACATGCCCACATATTTGTCTGCTAATTCATTTAATCCTTACACCGACCCTGTGTTTTAGGTTCCTCATTTTCACTTATGAGGAAACAGCAATAGGTATATTACATCACTTTAAAGATCACAAAGCAGGAGGCAGAGCAAGGATGCTACCTTTAGAGTCTGACTCTAGAGGGCAGGTTTATAACCACAGCAGATATCCTCCTTGGTGACCTGGGAGCTTCTCTATGACACTAGGAGCTATATTCTTATTCCAGGAATGGAAGACCAGAAGACAGTCTCTGCTCTCACACCCAATATTCTGAGGAATGCTGAATATGTTGCAAAATATATTTTGAATCTTCAGCTTACAAGAAATTACCTTGCTCAAGAGTTACTAATAACAACCACATAGTGCACAATATGTGAATTCTACTCCCCTGCAGAGGTGGTGACAGTCAATACGAGTAATGGACACTAGGTTGAGATTCTGAGACTTGGGGGAAGAATTTTGGGGAATGTGCTTGAGGTGAAAAGTGGTCCTACAGGTAGACACAGGGTCTAGCAGCCAGCACATACCCCAGTCCCCTTACTTTGGATCTGCAAATGTTGTTTCCAGTTAATGACATCTGATAAGGCAAGAGATTCTTGACAGCTCTTGAGCTCCTTAGACTAGATTTGATAGATGTTGGTGTAGTGATCAAGGTCATCTGTCATGTCCTGTTTGGTTGGGCAACAGGGAATAAGTCAATTTGATCATCCCAAGAGATTTCAATATTTGTGTCTAACACTTCCTTATACTATTACATTATATGGTTAAATATGTTTTCTTCACATATTATCATCACTCCTGAATCATTAAATCAGGCAACCAAGCTAAGAAATCCATTAAATTTATGTTAAAAAAGTGTTGTGAATCAAAAGTGTGTTCCATTACAATTTCAAATCAACCAAAGACATACAAAAGAAGCACTTTTCCTTAATTTTGGAATCTTCAGGAGGAAAAGGAAAAATCGTATTATTAAAAGCAAGCTCCAGTTGCAAGAACAAATCTTACTCTTTTAAACAGTCTCAGAACAAAAGCATTTTGAACTTATAATATTAAATGAACATGGGTAGCATCATATATAAATTTTTATCTATACACGGTAGAGGGATACAGAATGAGAATCCATGGTGTCTCTAAAACATAAACCCCAAACACTAGTGTTAATGAAAATAATTTATATTCCTAGCAAAATCAAAACACAGAATTTGTTCACAAAGTCCTTCTCAAAGTTAGTAAGTTAGAGTGGGGATAATTTGAAGCTGAAGAAAGGTCCAGATAACAAATACCCAGCTATTATAGAACAGTTGCAAAATTTTGCATAGAAATGCACTCGGAACTCAGCAATAATATCACTAGCACTCAGTATTTTTATATAACATTCAAAAAGCAAACATGCTTTCATTTTTAGAATTTAGTAAGGAATTTAAATTCATTTTTGTATTCTGTGTTGTTTCTCGGTTTTTTATAAAAACTTCATCGCATATATTTAAGCTAACAAAATGATATTACTGGATGCATATAGATATTAAAATATTTACTGAAGCAAATTAGCAGACCTGAAATCTCACATAGTTACCATTCTTTCTTTCTTTGGGGAGGAGATAACAGCTAGAATTTACTAATTTAGTAGAAAAAAAGTAACATTTCATTGCTCTGGTCTTTACCATACATTGGAAGGTACACGTCTTCATTATTTATATCTGCTAGTTAGATTCCTCTAGCTGATGTCTTTTTGTCTCCTCACCATAAACACACTTCTTATCTGGTTAATGACTGTTATATCTATATAAGGTGGATGTTTAAAAGATTCACATAGAAGTGAGGTTATGTAAAAGTTTTCTGTGATTGGCTGATTTTCCTTAGCAAATGTTGTGCAGATTCATTTTATCAAAACTGGTAAGATCTCCTTATTTTTTTATTAGCACATTATAATTATATGTAATAGAGGGATTCACGTTGACATGATTATGCAAGCACAGAATATAATTTGCTCCAATTCTGTCCCCAGTACTTCCCCTTTCTCACTCCTCTTTCCTCTTCCATTCCCTTTCCTCTTCTCTACTGGTCTTCCTTCTATTTATTCATAGTTTTTTCTTTAATTAGTTCATTATAGAACCACAAAAACCAATGAAACCAATGGTTAGTTTGATTGTTACCAATGTTGTTTATCTTTTCAAAGAACCAACTCTTTGTTTCATTGGCCCTTTGTATCTTTTTTTGTTTTGGTTTTTAGTTGTCAATGGACCTGTATTTTATTTATTTATATGTGGTGCTGAGAAGCAAACGCAGTGCCTCACATATGCTAGGCAAGCGCTCTGCTACTGAGCCACAACCCCAGTTTTTTTTTTTTATCTTTTTAATTCTCAGTTTTATTAATGTTGGTTCTGATCTTAATTATTTCCTGTGTTCTATTGATTTTGGTTTTAATTTTTCTCTTTCTAAGGCCATGATATATTATTTATTTGTTTTCTTTATATTTTTTTAATATAGGAACTCAGAGCCATAAAGTTTTCTCTTAAAACTGCTTTCATACTATCCCAGAGATTTTGATATGTTTTATCTATATTTTCATTTGTTTCCTTTTTCAATTTTTAAAAATTGTTGATGGACCTTTATTTTATTTATATGTGGTGCTGAGAATTGAACCCAGTGCCTCACGCATTCCAGGCAAGTGCTCTACCACTGAGCTACAACCCCAGCCCATTTGTTTCTAAGAATTTTTTATTTCTCTCCTGATTTCTTCTCAATCCATTCCTCATTTTCAAGTGTATTGTTTAATCCCAAGGTGTTAGAGTGGTTTGTTTTTTATGTTATTGTTAATTTCTAATTTCATTCCATTATGTTCTGATAGGATGCAAGAAATTATCTCTATTTTTGATTGCTAATATTTGTTTTGTGCCTTTAAATATGATCTAATTTACAGAAAATTCCATGTTTTTCTGAGGAGGAAATTATTTCAATTGTCTTATATTCTATGAATGTTTTTTAGGTCCACCTTATAAATAGTATTTTTTAGTTCTGAAGAATTTTGACTTGGTTCATTTTGATGATCTATGAAATGGTGAGAGAGGTGAATTGAAATCACCCAATATGATTATAATGTGGTCTGTTTGTTTCTTTATATTGTATAGGGTTTGTTTTATGCATGTAGGTCCATAGTTGCTTTAGGAATAAATATTTACAATCATTATTTCTTCTTGTTGGACGATTCCCTTAATAAGTACTTCTTTGTCTCTTCTGATTAATTTTGGCTTGAAATCTACTTTGGCTGATATGAAAGTAGCTACCTCTGCTTATTTTCTGTTTCTATTTGTATATTATATCTTTTCTCATCCTTTTGCCTTCAGTCTGTGGATGTCTGCCTATAAGGTGAGTTTCTGGTAAACATCATATGGTTGGGTCTTGTTCTTTAATCCAATCTGCCAATCTATGTCTTTTGATTGAAGAATTTAGACCATTTACATTCAATATTATTATAGAGAGATGATTTTTTTTTTAATTTCCTGCCATTTTGACTTATTTCTAATTCTTAATTCAGACTTGATTTCCCTTTAATTGATTATTCTTCTGGTGTTATTCATCCCTATACATGCTTTCATTTTTATTTTTTATTTCTTCTGCATGAAATATTTCACTGAGTATAATTTAGGAAGAATAATTTTGCTGTATATAGTAACCTTGGTTGGCACCTATTTTTCTTTCAAAGACCACATGTATTATTCCAAGCCCTTCTTAATTTTAGGGTCTGGGATGAAGAGTCAGTTTAAGTCCAAATTGGCTTACCTATAAATGTGACCTGCTCTTTTGATTTTTAAAATTCTATCCTTATTCTGTATGTCAGGCATTTACACTATAATGTTTCTTGGAGAGGATTTTTTTTATTATGCCTATTTGGGGTTCTATCTGATTCTTGTTTTTTTGATTTCCATCTTATCCCTAAGATTTGGGCATTTTTCCAATACTATTTCATTGAAAAAGTTGTACTTTCCTTCAATTTGTATTTTGGAGCCAACTTCAACCTCAATGATTCTTAAATTTGGTCTCATAATGTTATCCCAGTTTTCCTGAATATTCTGGTCACGGTCTCTTAACATCTTTTCTTCATTGTCAACTTTATTTCAAGATAATATACTTTGTCTTCAAGGCCTGAGAATCTGTCTTCAAATCTATTAGTGACGCTTTCCATTAAATTTTTAAATTGATTTATTACATCTTCCATTTTCAGTATTTCCATTTGGTGCTTTCTTAGAACACCTATCTCTTCTTTGAAATTAACTTTTACTTCCTGTATTTTGTTTCTAAGTTCACTTCTTACATCTTCTTTTAGACACTGAACATTTTAACTATGAACTTTCTAAATTCTTTCTCAGACATTTCTTCCACTGGTGTCAATGGGATCAGTTATTGACGTGCTGTGGGCTATTTGGGGTGGTTTTTATATATAGCATGTATATCCACCATCTATGACTATCACTTCTTCTTTTGTATAACAATGCAGTGAGCTTTTTTTCTCTTAAGAACTCCAGGCTGCATGAATATTCAGATATTTATACTTACTCTCAATGTGGTCTGTCCTCTGCTATTCCCAGTATCAGGTTTGCTTTGAGAGAAAGAACTAAACCCTATTTACTTCAAACACTTCCCGGCAAAGTTACATACTAATAAACCTCAGGAAAAACAAAGACTGGTTGATATTGTTCTTCACAGTTCCTTTAACCCAGGTATACAGTTGTAGCAATGTTCTTCAAGAGGTCGAAAAATTATTTATTAAAGACGGGAAAATGGCTATTGCATTATATAGGGGCTGAAAAGGGGAGGAGAGAAAATTGGGTAAAAGAAGAGAGAAAGAAAAAAGACAGAAAAGAATAATACAAACCAAAGTAAAAAGAAGATAAATATGGACGAGGAGGGAGGATTTGAGGCAGTCGCAGGCAATGTAAAAGGGAAGGAAGTGCTAAGTGGAACAAGTGTAAACCAAAGCTAGGGAAACAAAGAGAGTTATTCCAATTAATGTTTAAATCCTCAGAAGAAAGGCAGTCAAATACTAGGGAAAAATAACTCTGTAATCAAAATGAAGAGTAATATATGTATGACCAAAGTTGGCCTTTGAGCTATTTAGAGTTTACCATACCAAGGTGGAGACATCTTACTGAGTCTTCCCGGTTTGGTTTTCATCAATATGTGAGACCTTCAGATGATGTTCATCACTCTTCAGCTCTGGTCCCCCAGAGGGGCAGGGGTAAAGGAGCCACTCCCCTGGTTGCTATGGACCTCCCACCAGCTGGTCCTTTTTCCTCAACCCAGGGGTCTGAGGCTGATATTTGGGGGGTACTGTGCTGCATCTGCTGGCTGTGTCTATTGGGTGCCAGGGCACAGAATGCAGGTCTCAGGGCTGCTGCTTTGACTTCAATGGAGTCCCCATGGACCTGCTCCCCTCCCTCCCCTCCACAGGGCCCTTTGCAAAGTGGCATAGAGCCTGGTGGTTGTCTCTAAGTGTGGGACCTGTGATTGTGAGTTCTCTGTGGGTGGTCTCTGGTGCAAAAGCATCCCTCCTGACCAAAGCAAATCACAGATCCCTGGGGCGCCATCCCCGTGATTGGGAAAGAGACTCGGCCTGCAGTCTGCCTATGTCCAAACTTACTCCCCACAGTTGTAAATCACACGTCATTCCTCTCCACTGAGACAGAGACAGTTTTCCTGCCTATGTCCCAGCTCCCACTGCCCACGCCTGTGATCTGCAGGCACTCGTCCCCTCTGCTGCCTGGCACAGAGACAGTTGTTCCCCCTGCACTGTGTTCTCACTGCCCACGGCTGTGAATTGTGGCTATCTGCTCCCATGTCTGCCTGAGCTCCCAGGGCTGCTGTGTGGAGCAGCAGGGTTAGGCTAGAACTTCCCGGGAGTGCATAGCTCTTGGGTTTGCTCCATCCCATTCCTCTTGTCTGTGATGAGGGGGAAGGGATTTCAGCAGCTTTGTTAGCAACAATACTCTACAAGTTCCTTCTAGACCAATCACTGCAAAGGTGTTCCTCTGGATTGGTTTTTTTTTTTTTTTTTTTGGGGGGGGGTTGCTATCTGAAAGTGGGGAGACACTGCATTGATTGAATTTCTTCTAGGGAGTAGGGCTAGATGTGAATTCTACAAAACTGCAGCCATGACCAGGATGGCTTTCCATCCACAAGTTGGGTTAAACTGCTTCATCTCCGTCACTGACTTTCCAGCTCCTATCCTGTTCTGATTTGTTCAGCTGCTGCTCAAGAAGCGGGATGATGTGCTTTTCCTGTCCCTCTTTCTCTTTGTTGCTGCTCCCTCCTCCCCCACCCCCGCCCCGGGTCTAGGTTCAGGGTTAAAGAACTCTGTCCTTATTTTCTGTTCTGATAACCAAACCTCAAGTCTCTCCAAAGCTCAGGTTGTCCCATACTGAGTTTTATTCCGTTTACTCGGTCACCCATCTCTCTAGTCAGGTCTTTTTTCACTGCCTTCTTTCTGGGCTGTGGAGGGCTTGGAGGTTGCTGCTTGATCTGCATCTTCTGATATTGATTTCATTTCTTTTGGGGGCTAAATTACATTCTATTATGTATGTGTGTGCGTGCGTGTTTTGTGTGTATGTGTGTGTGTGTGTGTATCAATTTATCCATTCATCTGTCCATGGACCCTCAGGTTATTTCCATATCTTGGCTTTTATGACTAACGCTATAATAAATATGAGGAGTGCAGCTATCTTTACACAATGGTAATTTCATTTCTTTTGATACATGGCCAGAGAGGAACTTCTAGGTCAAATGGTAGTTCTAATTTTATGTTGAAGAACTTTCATTCTATACTTAAGCTGTTACAAATTTTTGCCAAGAAAGAATATTGGATGTTGTCAAAAAAAGCAAACAAACAAACAAAAAATGTTTCCACCTCCCTTGAAACGGCCATGTGTTCTTTATCTATTAACATGACGTATTACGGTGATTGATTTGCTTGTGCTAACCCAGTCTTACATGCCAGGTATAATATCACTGGTCACAGTGTATACATCTTTTGACATATTATGTAATTTAGTTTGTTAATATTTCATTGAGGATTTTTACTTCAAAATATTCATCAGAGTAAATGGCCAATAGTTTTCTAGTGACATCTTTTTTTGAGTTTAAAGGTAATGGTAGTCCTCCCACAGTATATTTGGAAGTATTCCTTCAAGCTCTATATTTTGGAAGAATTCAAGGAGCACTGGTATGAATTCTTCTTTGCATGTTTGGTGGAATCCAGCTGTGAAGCCATCTACTCCTGAGTTTTTGTTTCTTAGGAGGTTTTTTTTTTTTTAATCACTTCTCCAATCTCTTGATTTGTTGTCTATTTCTTCCTGAGTTAATATCGGTAGGTTGTATTTTTTTAGACATTTATCTGTTTCCTCCAGAATATTCAATTTGGGGCAAATGATTATTCATAATAGTTTCTTATAATCCTTTTTATTTCTGAGGTGTCTATTGCAATATTATTAGTTTCATTTTGAGTTTGAGTCTTCCCTCTTTTTTACTTAGACTAGTATTGTCAATTTTGTTATATTTTCAAACAGACCTACTCTTAGTCTTATTGGTTCTCTCTATAAATTTTTGATTCCTTATTCAATTTATTTCTTTTTGGATGTTTGTATTTCTTTCCCCCTGCTAACTTTGGGTTTAGTTTGTTCTTCTTTTCTAGTTTCTTGAGGTATAACATTAGATTATTTATTTGGATTCATTCTTTTTATGAAAAGCATTTTTGCTATCATTTGCTATTAGAACTGCTTCTACCAAACTTAATGGGATGCAGCATGTAGTTGTAGCTTGCTTTCTTACCCATTCATCCACTCCATGTTTGGATGGGGATATTTGATCCATTTGTATTTAAGGTTATTACTGAAAAGTAAGAACTTCTTATTGTTGTTTTATTTGATTTCTGATTGTTTTTCTATCTATTCTTCCTTGCTTCCACTCTTATTGTCTAACTTCGTGATTTGATAATATCCTATAGTGCTAATTGTGATTACTCTCTCTTTATTGGTCCTATAGCTGCTGTAGTTTGTGATAATTAGGAGGTTTGCAGAAAACATTTTATACTTTTTTCTCTATTTTTTAAATTTGCTCAAATTAGTTATACATGACAGTAGAATGCATTTTTAGACATTGTACACAAATGAAGCATAACTTCTCATTCCTCTGGCTGTACATGGTGCTGAGCCACACCAGTAGTGTACTCATACATATATATAGGGTATGATGTCTGTCTCATTCTACTGTTCTTCCCATCTGCACTGTCCCAACCCCTCCCCTCTGCACATCTTATGCTGTTAATGGCTATTTACAGCTGATAACAACTAGTCTTCTGTCACTTACAAAAACTCTAGACTTTTATTCTACTTCCCACAATTAATGTTCTTGATGTTACAAACAGCATCTTTTAACCTTGTATATTCCTTAACAACACCCTGTAGTTGTTTTTTTCTTGATTTTATGTCTCAACATTCATACATAGATAGGTGTAGGATCTACACATCACAAATACATTATTGAAGTATTGAGGAGTTCATTGGGTATCTACTTCTAATTGTGAGTTTTACTTTTATATGTACACATAGTAATGATTATTACCTCTTCGCTTCTGCTTAAAAGCACTACATGGTTATATTCCATTTGTTAATGTTTTATATCAAAATGATACTATATGGTTAAGCTTTATATTTTTGTATGCATGAATTTTCAATGTGTTAAAATGTATTTGTATTTAAAGTGTATCGATCACTTTGCTTGTTATTTTTCAAAGCGTAGCACTGAAAATATACATCTTAAATATTGTAAATTGTTTCTCATATTTCTCTAACATTCTTTACATTTAACTTCACATATTGTAGGAGTTATTTTCTCAGCTTACAAAATGTTCCCCTACTCTTGTCATTATCTCAAGACCTATTGAACATCACAATTCAGTTTTGATGGAATGCCTACTTGCAAGTCTTTTTATCCTTTCCCTACAACCAACCTCTGAAATCACTGATTTTAATCAACTTTGAATCAGAACTACTTCTTCGTCTAAAGTATAATCTTAACACAAAAACAACTTCCTACAACATAAGTGCTCTTGTGTGCTCTTGCACATTTTCACACCATATTGCAATTCTTCTGCTTTTCTGTTTTCCTCCAGGCTGTGAGCTCATTGAGAACAAGACTAGAGGACCACCACCGTGATTCCTTTCTGTTTCCCTGGGGTCCACCATACTTCCTTCCAGGTTCATGTCACACACACAGCAAATACAAACAAAGTCATTGTCATTCGACCCCAGACAACTTACCTGCTCCTGAGGGCGCACAACTACTGTGTTAAAATCTGGCCATTTGTCCACCAGGGCCTTTAGCTTGAATGGGTTCCCCTGGTTTATGTGGAAGACAGTTCCATAGACCTAAAACGTTTCAACAACATGAGAATCTGCACATTACAAAGGAACAGCCAGGTGCCTTGTTTAACCCCAACAAGCCTTATTCCTAGGAATCAGGGTTTGTAACTAATAGATCGTGTACTTCAGTCTTCAGGATGTATATCATTACCCTAAGCAAAACCAAACAGATTTTTGCATAAAATCATGAGAATATTTTATATATATAAATACCAGATAGATAAAATAAATAATGCTCACTCTTACATTGTAGAGTTTTTATTGGTACATTATTAACTTTTAAATTTTTATTAGTACATTATAATTATACATAACTGTGGGATTCATTGTGATATATTTGTTACATGTGTGCCTAATTGGTCCGTATTATATAGAATTTAGTTTTATATTTTTTCCAAATTCTTCCATTAATTTACATATACACATAAATTTATAAACAATAAAATTAATAAGTTTAATATCTATTTTCTTGCATTCTATATATATGTATATGTATATTAATACACACATATATATTTGGAGATACACATGGGAAAAAACCTTTACATAGAGATTAAAGATATATATTTTTATATATCATATGTGTTACATATATATCACATATATGATATATATATATATATATATATATATATCATATATGTGTCACTTATGGTCTCACTGACTGGGCCAGGCTGGCTTTGAACTTGTCTTAGCTATGCCCCTCCACACAGTGACTGGGATTATAGGCATGTGCCATCATACTGGGGGATTTCTGCTTGATTTTTGAATGTGCCTTGAGTTCTCAGGAAAATCTCCATGTTTATGATATGATGTATATTTTAAATGTTTTTATGCTTGATTTGATAGTATTTTGTTAAGAATTTGTTTCTCATCTATGTTAATGACAGATGCAATTCTGTAGTTTTCTTATCTATTTCTGGTTTTGTTATTAGGGTAATTCTGGACTCACAAAATGAACTTGAAGATACTCTCCCATCTTTGTTATATCCTGAACGAATTTGTGTAGAACTGGTGTAATTTTTTTCTCATATGTGTGGTAGTGATTGCCAGTGAAGCCACCCAGATGGGAGATTTCTGTGTTGGAAAGTTTTCATTTCCATACAGAGAGTAATTTACGTAACATATTCCTCTTCAAAGACCTTTGGTAATGTGTGCTTTTCACAGAATAAATACTGAAACCTATGAATGCAGCACTGATAACAGTAGGCACATTTTATTTATTATTATGCTTATAATGTCTATGGATTTGCAGTAGTGTTTTCTATTTTATTCCTGACATGTAATCTGTGTCTTCTTCTTTCCTGGTCAGTTTGGTTACAATATTATCAACATCATTTGATACTTATAAGAACCATAATTTGGATGTGTTGGGTTTTTGTGTTGTTTTTCTGCACTCACATTCTTTTATTTTTTAAAAAATCTGTTTATTGTTCAATTTCCTTCATTCAGCTTGGTAAAGGGTTAATACCCGCCTACTTTTTTAAGTTTCTAAGGTGAGAATTTAAATCATTGAATTGAGAGCATTCCCATTTTTAGTCTCATTTTTTAGTATAAGCAGGTAATGCTACATTTTTTTTTCTCACAATGTTCCACCCTCACCTTTAAGGACTCGGGGAGGCTCTTCCTTAAGGACTTCTCTAGCATCTGCAGCATCTGTGGACTTTGCAAAGGAAACATCTTGGCAGGTGCTTTAGGCTAAAGAGAAGATTGAGAAACATCATGAAATGAGAAGGCAGTTCTAGTTAATGTCGTGAGCTATATTCCTGCTGTTCCAATGTGCCTACTAACTAAACTTCTAATGCCGAGAAAGAATAGGATTGGTGGCAGGTACAGATGCCTCCTTCTGAAATAACCTTTACTACAACTCCTTAAGCTTTTAAAAGTATTTATAAACATTTGTTTTCATTCTGTATCACCTAGAATTCCAACAATTAAGGATACACTAAGATAAACAGATCTATTCTCTTCACATACATGGGCATTGATACAGACCATTTCCTACACTCTCCAATAGCTTGTTTCTCTCCCATGCCCACCAATCCCTTTTAGACTTCCAGCTTCAAGCAATCATTAAGCTGCTTTCCATCCCTATAATTTTCTTTACAAAATGTCAACTAAGTGGAATTATTTCATATGTAACTTCTGGGACTGGTTTATTGTATCAAATCTAAGCTGCTGTGCAATTCAATAGTACATCGCTTTTTATTTCTGGAAAGTCTTCCATTGCAGGGATTGCACAGATGAATTCCTTTATTTATCAATTCACCTGCTGAAGGACACTTGGGTTTTTATAGTTTGGGATGATTCTTAATTAAAGTTACGAATAACATCAATGTACAAGTCTTTGCATGGCTATATGTTATTATTTCCCTCAGAGTGCACTTCAGAGTTGCATGGTAAGTAAATGTTTCACTTTATAAGAAACCGCCTTTTTCCAAATTGGCTACACCATTTTACATTCTTATTGCAGTATGTGAGGGTTTCATTTGCTCTATATTATCTCTAGCATATCTGCAGGTTATTTTTTTTCTATACAGCCATGTTCAGGAATCATTGATGTCATGGGCAAAATCCTCAACAATATCCTTCAAATCAGTATCCAAGAAGGTTCATAGAACTAGTTCTCAAGGCCAAATGGGTAAAGCTAAAGTATATTTCAACAGATGCAGTTCTCTGAGTGACTGACAATGGTAAACTTTACTCAAGCGCTATAACTCAACAAAATAACAACGGTCAAAAAATTGCTCCATTCAATTTGAGACTACTACTTAGACAGGATTCCCCAATTTCCTTCTTGCTGACCTAGAACAAGGCCAAATGTGGACCCTTCAATGCCTCATACTTTGCTTCACAAGGATGAGCTGAACTGCTAATACCCATTAATAAATAAGACAATACTTGTCAACCAAAATTTCATTCCTTTGCTCTCCTTCCCCCAAGCCAAATCATCTACAATCCCTGTTGAACAGCTCCCAGCAAAAATAAGCTGGACACAGGGTAATATGTCCTCTGAGCCTCTATTGATACACCATCCCTTAGTTCACTTCCCCACCCTGAGACCTCCCTGCCCTGTCCATTTCCCCTTCAGAAATGCTTAACTAAACTGTTCATGCTCACTGATCCATCAGAACAAAAGTTTTTGTTAGCTAACTTGATCACACTGTAATTTTCTGCTCCTCGCAGGACTCTGAACTTTGACTTACCCTCAGCCTGAGTTCTGGCATGCAGAAAGTTCCACCTTACTATGAAAATAACCTCTCTTGCTCACTTCTCCCTATAAAACAAAAGACCTTTTCTTTTCTAACTTTCATATGTTTCTAGATATTATGGTCTGAGAAGTCTCCCTAACACAACCGTCCCTCCCCCCCCTCCCTGTTTTTCAATAATCCTTTAAATAAAATTTCTCCTTGTGGAAGTCTGAAATGTCTTTTTAAACAAAACTTTGGTACAGCTTCATTTTAAGTTAAATTGACTTTTGTTAGTAAGCTGAGCATCACTCTTTATTCATTCATTCATCAATCTGTCCACTTATACAATGAATCTTGTTTGAGAACTTAGTACAGTGGCTTTGTAAGGTACCACCTTGGCCAGGCAGAATAGTATTTCCTGAAATCCATTTAACCACTGGTTTGCAGGTAGCGTGGGCCACAAGGGAGATTTTTGTGAGATAATTGGAGGCAAATAGGAGCAGCAGCCATTTTGGTAGCTCACCTCTTCATGCAAGGATAGGCTGCCAGCTACTTCATTGTCCCCCAGATCTACATCAACCTCTCTCATGCTGGCCAAGTGTATGCATTCAGCTCCATAAGGAAGGAGCCTGGAAGGACACCCACTGCCAAGGCCACAGTCAGCAAAAACTGCAAGGTTTTGGTGCCCTGTAAGCTCCAGTGTGTGTTCTCACACTTTAAATAAATCTTCCTTTCCCAACACTTGTGCGCACTTTAATCTCCAGTAACAGAAAAGAAGGATTAGCCTTCTAGAAACTGCTTAACTAGCACACAGCATTGCATAAGGTCGAATCCTTATAACAAATCATCTATTTCTGATCCTGTATTTTGATCCTGACTGATACACATACACTGGTAAATGCTCTGAGCAACTGTGAACTTATAACAAACCACAGTAGATGTTTCCTATTGTCTAAGAACTCATACTCTAATAAGGGAAATAAGACATACAAAACTAAAAAAAAATACTATAGAGAAAGAATTAAATTTATATGTGTGTGAAACAGGGGTATAGAATTCAACACATTCTAAGGTAGTGTTCTTGATATGGAAATTATTCATATAGTCTAATGTGTCATTTTTTTTATTACCAAGTTATATGTGAAACCAATTCACCCACCCTATCTCCATTTCTTATCTCTTCTTGAACTTTGCTCTCTCCCTAAACCTAAGGGTTGGATTTGTACAGTGTATATTGCTAAAAAATATGAAGAAACAGTTCTGCATTTGACTTACTGCAGCACAACTGCTGTTATCTGAAGAATGGGATCACAGGATGCTTTTCCTTGTCCGTTGGAGTCTTTGGGAATGCTGGTCCTTTTGGGGTGATGAACTAGGATCTGTACTGGGAGAAACACGGCTGATGTTAGTTTCTATTGGCTCCAATTACCAAAGATGTCACTCTACGTTTTGGTCTATGGCTTTAACGTATTGGGAGAAGCTTGGACTAATGAACGTTTTAATTTTTTTCATGTGTGTTTCCCCAAGATTTTTTGTCAGTCATTTGGGGATAACAACAATAGGTTTTTCAACAGACCTAGTGCTCCCTTAGTGATGTAAGGGAAGAAGAGTCTTAAACAAACCCACTGAGGCAGAGGCTGCATTCTGAATGTAGTTTCTGGGGAAGAACCTGGGCCTGGTAGGAATTGTTTGTTTTTTGTAAATGATTTGTCATTTTGTAGTGATGAGGGCTGAACTCCGGGCCTTGTACATGCCAGGCAGGCATCTGCAGCCCCTTGTAGATGATTGTTTAACCACTAAGTGCTGACTATTCATCTCATCTATAGTCTCTCTCTTCCAGATAAGACCAAAGAACATTTCTTTAATGCAATACCTGCTTTAGCACTCTGACTTATCTTCATTTTATTTATGTACTACTCCTACACTACCTTCAAAACCCAGTTTTTCTCCTTTTCCAAAGTCCTAATTAAATGCCAGTTTGTCCCTGATTGATTCCCTCTGAGACACCTCAACCCAAAGAGAATTAGTCATTCTCTTTCTTGAAAATCTGGTAACAATGACTTCTAATTTGTTAATTTCACTGGACAGAAATTATTATTCAAATTATTAATCTGTTCCTTCTCAAAGGTTATCACATTGTCTAGTTCACATTAAGGAATAAGTACATATTTGCTTAATGACAGAATGTATAAAGTATTTGTGTAACTACAACCTTTTAATTAGTCATTTCCCCAATCCAATTAAAAGATTCTTCGTTCAAGAAGTAAGCTATGATATGAATGTTTGTGTCCCCCCTCAATTAACATTTTCAAATACTAGCCTCCAAGGTGATAATACTAACCAGGTAAGAACTTTGGGATTGGTTCATGAGGACATCCTTTCCACCAAATGAGAACATAGGAGAAAAACATCTTTAAAGAATCAGAAAACAAGCCATCTCTAGACATTGACACTGCTAGCACTAAAATCTTGGTCTTCCCAGTCTCCAGAACTGTGAGAAATAAAGTTTTCTTGTTTGGAAGACATCCAGTATATGGTATTTGGTTCTAGCAGCCCAAAATAGACTAAGATAAATTACCAATTGAAGGCCACTATTGAAAGGCATGGGAATTATTATCAGACACTCCACTGAAATAGCCCCAGAGCACAATAGAAGCACCTGTGCCAGGAATGAAAGTCTCAAGACAGAAGTGCAATATTTGTGAAGGTTAATTTGATATTCTAGCTGGAAAAACCTCAGAAGAAGATTACAAGAAAATACCAAAGTAGAAACTGATACCAGAATGCTGAAGATACAACATTAAAGTATCACCAAGTATATTTATGACAACCTTCTGCACATGTACACACATCCCGAAGACACAAATATGCTGTTTAACTAGTATAATTGACTAAAGCCTGGGGAGACCCAGTGGGGCTGCACACTCTGGCGGGTTGCCAGATGGGCAATGAGCAGAGTCCAAAGGCAGTGGGAACCTTTGACACAGTCCAAGGTGTATTCAAAGAAAACAATTCCAATGAACAAAAAATGCTCTGTGAAAAATTGTGCAAAGCACATTAAACTCAGATTTTATGTGAACGTTTATAGACAACACACATTAAAAATAAAAATTTGGAATGGAAAAACAATGCAGTAACATTATAGAAGAGTTTTTAAAATTGCATTTGTCTTGGTTTTTAAATTAACAACTCATCTCCTCCGAATTCCAGTCCCCATGTGAGAATCCACCTAGTCTCTTTATGACTAAACAGGGCACATAAATTCCCTGTACATCAGTTACCACCCTAGGTAAAGCCAACTGCCTTAGAATGCCACAGAGGATTACGTAAGGTAATGTTTGCATGGCATGTGTACACTTTGTGGCAAATAAATGTCACCTGAGCCAGCATGCTCCTTTCAGGTGCCATTTTAATCTCTGGCTCCCACCCACTGATAGCAAGCTCCCAAATCTCTTCATGTTTATTCATCAATACAGACTCAGACCTGGC